AGATTCAGCTTGAGGTATGCGTGGTTCTTACGTTCGGTTACTTAAAAATCTTGGCGAAAAAATTTCCTACTAAACAACTAGGTTACTTTTAAAGAATGATTGTTAAATGGAAAATTACTTTGCAAAAATTTATGGTGATTTATGCTAGTGACCGCAACAGGTAGGTGTAAAGCAAAGCCATTCATGCAGTCAGTAACCTGTGTACTTCAAGTCCGGTGCAAAAACTTATGATCGCACGGGCCCGCCCGGTGCGTTCCAGCCTGGGTTGCTTCACGCCTACCTTATGAGCTCAATACCGTAAATCATCCTAAATTTTGCATAAATGAAAACAATTTGCATGTAGCGGTTGTTTTTTGAAAATGACCCCAGCTGTTCATCGAGCAATTTCCTCGCCAAAAATTTAAGTGCCCGTACACGAGAATCACGCGTGCATGAAAGCTGAATTTGAAACATTTAAGTTGTGTTTGGATGGGAAATATTCTCCTAAAATCTCAGCTTTCCAGCTTTTCTGGTTCCCGAATTAGCAACTTCCTCGTCAAAACTTTCACGGGGTCGTACGTGAACTGGGGGCCAGTTTTGAAATCTTTGAGTTGTACGTTAATTAGGAATATCCCCTTAAAATTTCAACCTCCTAGCTTTCCTGGTTCTCAAGTTAGCGATTTTCGTGCCCGGAAACCTCCGGGGGACACGCCTCGGGCTGAATTTGAAATCTTTGAGTTCTATGTGGGCGGGGAATATAACCTCAAAATTCCAGCCTTCTAGCTTTTTTCGTTCCCAAGTTAGCAATTTTCCCGCCAAAACTTTCACCCTCTCGCACGCGGGGCCCGGATCTGCGTGAGTGTTGGTGCCGCGGTGCTGGGGTGGCACTTGGCCGGGAAACTCACTAGCAAGATTTTGGCGCCGGAGCTTGCTTGGTTGCCAAATTGAAATACTCGGACAGACGACCATACACACACAGACAGGGTCGTCGCGATATGCGTTTTTGCAATTTTCGTATAAGCAAAAACGCCTAATGAGCACGAGGGTGTGTGAGCGGACTAGAAATGTGAGCGGCCATAACGCAATATTTTATCAAAAAGCTACGTAGGGAAATAAAATTGCTAAAATTCTAGACTAACCGCCTGTGATGAAAGAAAGAGGCTGAGGTTTTCACGGCACTTCTCAAAACTTGTTTGAGCTGGAAGCGAGTTTAGGCTGGAACGGAGCGCATCAGCAGTCGCTGTAAAGGTATTTTAAAGCAGGAATAGAGAGAACTAAAGATAATTCTTGATCTATAAGTCATGGTCATTACGCATTCAAGTGATTAACAAGCGACATGCTTGCATTAGGCATCAGTTCGAATGGTGCGTGAGCTGGTAAGCGCACTAGCACTGCGCCTACGTGTTTTCCTTGTCCAAATCACCCTTTTAGAAATCTGGGAAAATTATAAACGTAACAGGACACGTGGCCGAGGAGGGTTTGCTCGTTCCACGCTGCGCATCCTCTCTCTGTTTGGTGCCAGTTTGTCTGGAGCTGTCTGATGCAACTTTTTTTTGCTGGAACAGTGGACACGCCTTAAATGGATGTGCTTTTTCATCGGCAAAGCCAGCTGCGATGCTCGTGCTCAGGTCGGATGAGGCCGTTGTCATCAATAAGCTGTCGGTTCTGGTGTTACCAGCTGCACTGCGTAAAGAGCAACCGCTCGGAGTTCCGCTGCTCAGCCGTGCCAGCATTCTGCACGAGCTGGGCTTTACGTCCTTGCATCTCGGACTCCTGTTTGGCGTTTCAGTCCCAGGTGCGCTTGAGAGAGACAGTTAGTACTTAAAAACTCTTCGTCCCAGCAGAAAACATCATCGGTAAGAACGAAAGCTAGCATCTTGTCTCTTCTTTTTTCGCGAAAAGAAAGCAAAAACTGATTCATCTAGAAAAACCCGGGATTGGCAAACAAATGTTTTAAATGAAAGGCAGCCATCTTATTATCGGCTTAAAAGGACATCATTTCGAAACTTGCTCTAGTGATTTTAAGAGCATTTAACTAACAGTGTGGTAGCAGGGTTAGGTCCTTCTCGTCAAGTTTTCAGTCTGTGTCCGGCCGAGCGCATTGTAACGTGAAGCACTCTTGTGTTTTCTGCAGTTTTCTTACCATTCCGCTATAGTTCTCACGTTATACTTTTATGCTGATGTATTTGGCGAATTAACTTATTTGCACAGCTCGATAAACCATGAAAATCGTCGGAGCTATTAACGCGGAATATTCAGCCTTTTTGCGCTGGGGCCACTTGGCGGGCAAGCACTAAACCTCTTGTCCAAAATTTCTTGCCATCTTAAATCTATTTATAATAATGTTACTGGTATGCTCTTATATGCCGGGTACACCTGTACCAGGTCATTTGATTTTGGACTGCAAACCTTCTGTTAATATCCACCGCCTGTTCGATAAATGTGCGCAACCTGTTCGGGTGCCAACTAATGGATACCACTCATTAATGCGTGTCGTCCACCAGTTGTCCTCATGGCCGGCAACATGCCCTGCCTATCGGATCTTACTTTTTCGTGTGGTTGCAATGTTATCCAACAGGCCGCTCATCAGAAGGTGGGCTTGATTGTTTATATGGTCATGAACATATGCGCTAAGCTTCCTTTGCTTTATCCACTGCTTTCTCCGTCACAGTTAGCGTTCGCTCTTCAGTTTGAGTTATTGATCACGTTTCTCATCCGTGTGTCACTGCCTTTTTCACTGCGGTGTTGAAGATTTGAGTACAGTTCTCACGGTTCAACACTTCGAGAAATAGACGGTGCTGTAAAATTTGCGCCAATCGACGGCCTTTCTACTTGCAGTCTCTAGCTGAGATTGTTCAGTAGTGCGTTTAGCTTTTTCAGTGTTGATCTTCGGAAACTCTTTGTTATCTAGTCTTGATGGGGCACTGGCAGCACAAAAACTCCATTCGTTTGGAAATTGAGCTGTGCCTCTCTTCGATTTGCAGTGGAATGTTGGGAAACTAGAATCTTGAGAGGGCGAGGGGGTGGATGCATGAGACAATATTGTACACTATGGTATGAAAACTCCTCACTCTCTCCTTCTTCCCTTCCACTACAATCGCAACCAGTGTTACCGCAGCATTTAGAGATTTCCGCGCTGTGTTACTTGTAAAATTTACCCCTTCATTTTTAGAATTGTTCCAGCTGCAGTAATTTCGTGCTGTAAGGGTGTGGTAAACACCCTATTGATACTACTACTCAGACGCTGCTGGTCGAAAAATAGTTTACCTGTACTTTACTAGTACAACCAGCGGAACAATAATCCTGCCTTTATCTTCCCCTACGTCCTCCTTTCCTACCTGTTTGATAGCTGGAATGTCTAATTTGCTCATACAGCCAGATTGAAAAGGTTTAAAGTTACTGTTACGGAACTTTGCAGGAATGAATAAGTGCCGTTGTAATCAATTGGCTGTTGCGGTATTTTATCATAAATTGAAATCCTTAACCTAGTGTGGAAGATGTAATAATCAATTGAGGCTGAGGTGAGATATGAAACTGGATGGTGGTAAAATAAGAACGGAGCAGTGTTTTGGTCATGATGCACTGCTGTGGCTCAAATTAACACGTACGAAATGCACCACTTCCCGGGTCTAAACTTTGCATTCAGTCAGGAACGGTGAGTTATGTGCACAGCCTTTGTAGCGTTGACTCCAAAACAAAAATTTTATTCAAAACAGATCAGTTCAACTAATGCGAAGTATCGCCCATCAGTGTCTTTTTCGTAGGTCACTGTATGAATGTTGTCTCTCTGTCCGTGTTTCGTTCCCAGGTCTCTGATTAGAGCGTGTGAAAGTGGTGAATTCTGAACAAGCGGGCATTTGATATTAACCTAAGATGTGCAGCAAAAGTGTCAGTCGCGTAATGTTAATAAAAGTTTGCATTGCTAGATTTGGTCAGGTCTGGTTTGGCCGCAGAGCACCATCAGCAATAACTGCTTGCTGGATAACAGCCGCGTTATCTGAACGTCTGATTGGTTCGACATGTGAGCGTTTGCTGCTAGCAAAAATAATGCTGACAGTTATCGTTTTTCCTCGAATTAATTTGCTGGCTTGTCTCAGAATTCTTGATACTGGCTCTTGCAACATGCTGAAATAGAGTATCTTGCATGTTGATGAGTCGCTTTTGAGCGTTTTTATGCGTTTTTACCTATATGCAAATTGCAAAAACGCATATTGCGACGACCTTGTCTGTATGTGTATATGTATGTATGTTTGTGTGTCTGCGCGTGTTCGTCTGTCCAGGTATTTCAACTCAGCTACCAAGCAAGTTCCAGCGCCAAGATTTTGTTAGTAGGTTCCACGGCCAAGTGCCGCCCCAGAAGCGCGGTACCAACCCTCATGCAAGTCTGAGCCCCGGGTACGAGAGGGTGAAAGTTTTGGGGGGAAACTGATAACTCAAGAAAAGATAGAAAGATTTCCCGGTCAAAATATAACTCAAAGATTTCAAATTCAGCCTCCAGACGTGCGTGGTTCCCTCGCACAGCCTCGTGAAATTTTTTTTGGCGGAAAAATGGCGGAACTAGCAAAGCTGAGAAGCTGAAATTTTCAGGAAATGTTCACAGCCCATGTACGATTTAAAGTTATCATATTTAGCCACCGGGCAAGTGCAGTTCTGCCACCGGGCAAGTGCAGTGCAGTTCTCGCGTACAGCCCCGTGAATTTTTTTGGCGAGAAAATGGCTACTTCGGGAACCAGCAAAGCTGGGAGGCTGAAATTTTCCTCCTAGCATGAATACAACATAAACCTATCAAATTCAGCCCCCAGTCGTACGCGGGAGGGGGGATGAAACAGACAAAAGTAACAACCGCTAGAACGATACAAGCCAAATGAAAGTGATGAAACAGACAAAAGTAGAACGCCCTCTGGCAACTATGCAAATTTCAGCATAACAGTGCGCGCTCTGTACGTGGAGAGCACTAAGCGTAACGTGGCATAATCCAAAACATGCAAATTTCCATGTAAGACGTGGATTTTCACACGTGGGAATCCCTGCACTGACGTGGCTTAATCGACTTTTACGTGGGACTTAATTTTTCATACATGGAATATGCAAATTTTTTTGGCGAGAAAGTGATGTCGGAAACACGAGCTAAGGGGCTGAAATTTTGTAGGGATATTCCTTGCGCATATACTAGCTAAAGATTTCAAATTCAGCCCCCAGGCATGCGACTCACGCAAGGGCGTATGAAAGTTTTAGAGGGAAGTTGCTAATTTGAGTACCAGGAAAGCTAGAAAGCTGAAATTTTGGGAAATGCTTCCTATCCAAGTACAAAATATTTCGAATTCAGCCCCAAGATATGCATAGTACTCAAGTAATGGCGTATGAAATTTCCTGCAGGAAAATTACTAACTCGGCAATCAGAAGAGCTAGAAGGCTGAAATTTTAAGGGGATATTCCCTGTCCACGTGCAATTTAAAAATTTCAAATTCAGCTTT